TTATTGTGGGAAAAATTATAGGGGTTTTATATTGTGCTAAATTATACTATTTAGAGAATCGATAGTGATGTTGTTGTCATAAATATTAATTGTTGTAAAGTCGGTCAACACTTTCAAGTAATAAATTAAGTCATTTAGATTTATGGCTAAAGGGCCGAATTGTAAAGTTTTGATTGTCTGTAAACAGTTTCTGTCTCTTTCAGTAAAGAGGAAACTCACTTTCGGTTTTACTTTTAAATGGCAAACAGATGTAGATTAGTAGGGTAAATGCCTTGATGTGTATATATTTTAAAGTTAGATTGAGGTTAAAAAAATATGTTTTCTGTCCTTCTTTGTAAAACAAAATTGGGTAGACAAATGTGTCATTTTAGCTGCAAGGAGTGTTAGTTTTGTACATCGATTTTTCGGGAAAAAGGGGATATGTACAGCGGCGAGTAGAATCATGAATATTGAGGAGGGTCGGATCTATTTGTACGTATCCACATACCTTTAGCGGGACATTACGCGGAAGTAGTCGGTATGTTTGTTATTTATTTAGAGTAAATAGGTGAAATTGTGTTTGTGGACTACCTAACGTATCCTCAGAACTGTGATTAATAACAATGATTTTTCGATCGACAGAGCAAAAGAGCCTTGCGCCGAAAAAGAGCCTTAGGCCACCATAGACCACCAGGGACCTCAATAGTAAGGGCCTAAAAATGGCATTTCCCTTGCGGTTATATAAATTAAAGCCTGATAGAGGCAGGATGGATCTCTACTGAGATACCCCAAAAGTGGGCCTGACGGGCGTCCCCCTTTATATCAGGTGTTCTACGATCGATCATTTTAGTGTTTTCCTTACAGAACTGAGTATGTCAGTACATTACGGCATTGGAATATTAGTGAGAGGCGTGACGCACGGTGAGGTAAATCTACACTTCGGGTTTTACACATATTACATATATTATTCTATACTTACCTACCCCGCGGAACTCTGCGTGCTACCGCTGTACTCTCTTTTATTAGACAATGCGTAATTCAGTATTTCCGTGGAAAGGTGTAATTGTATATTAGGAGACAAACAAATATACCAAAGTACTTCCTACTTTTATTTTACCCTTTTATGGGAACTAAAAGCTCTGAGGTTAGAAATTACACATTGGAAAGCCTACATAAACATAATGTTAAACCTAAAAACGGCACATAATCTGAATGTCCGGCTGTACAAAAGAATAGATGTTAAATAAACAGTATTCAAAATTAATCTCTGTGTTTACTTTGTTCTTCCTCCATTACAGCTACATTGAACTCTAAACGTAATTCTGGGGGTTTTAACATCACTTCCTGGGGATCCACTAGACGAAATTTAGGCCAAGGTTAAGGGTATTTGGAAAACTAGGTTAGGGCCCGGTTTGTCGAGTTACACTAACTGCTGTTAGATCTACTTTTTTTTTTTTCATATAAATTACAGAAAATGTATCAAACAGAATCCCATAAATAGAGGTTAATCAATAAATGTTAAGACACTTGTTTTGACATAAAAAATATATAAAAAAAATTATTGACAAAATATAGAACAATAAAAAAATATGAGTAAAATTATAAGTAAAAATAAATATATGTAAAAACATGAGTAAAAATAGATATATGTAATAAAAAAACAGGTAAGATGATAGTGAAATTTTTTTTAGTAAAAAGGAAATATAATAAATTACTTTATTTGAGATTCCACTATCTCAATAATTTTATTTTGGTCAGTTGCCAATATATACGTTTTTAGTTTCTTTTTAAATAAAGTTTTATTTTTAAATGGGCCCGTTCACTTTCATTTTTGAATGTGAATTAATTATATATTTATAAAGATATTAAACTCTTTTGTCTGGTGGTACTTTTCCCGTTAAGATATTTTTGCTAGAAGTAAGGGAATTCCCATAAAATTCTTTCAGTGACTCATTGCGTCAGAAAATCCCTAATTCCGTTCACGTCTCGTATCGGTTAATAGTTAAAAGGGCGCGGTTGTCGGATGTATCATTGCACCACCATTCCTCTTCTGCATTTATTATAGAAATTTACATGATAAAAATATATTATTTTTTTAAAATAATGTGTTTATATTTTCAGATAAAGCTGGAAACCTTACCTTTTTTAAATTTTAATAAAAACAATTAGTATTACTCAAGCTGAATATTACCAGATCGAAATTTTATTTGAGAAAATGTATCTGGTAAACGTGACAACGTTGTAAGTACTTCTAAATAGTGTTGTCTACACACACTTCTAGAAATAAATGCAACGTTGCCACGTTTACCAGATAAATATTGCAAATCAAATTTCTACTTTTTGATTATGGTCTGGTTAATTTTCAGCCTGAGTAATAATAATTGTTTTAATTAAAAAGTAAAAAATAAGCTCCCAGCTTTAAATTTGAAAATATAACATCACGATTTTTAGAAAAATAATAGAATTTTACTATTTAAATTACATATATAAATGCAGAAATGGTATATTAGGGATACTTCCGACAACCCCGCCGTCTTTAAGCATAACCGATACGAGACGTGAACGGAATTAGGGATTTTCTGACGCAATGAGTCACTGAAAGAATTTTATGGGAATTCCCTTACTTCTAGCAAAAATATCTTAATGGGAAAAGTACCACCAGACAAAAGAGTTTAATATCTTTATAAATATATAATTAATTCACATTCAAAAATGAAAGTGAACGGGCCCATTATATGGAAGACTATTATAAACAAAATTGCGTATGAGAACGATCGGTGAAATAGATTTTTTTTACTACGGTTAAAACAGCATTAATTGTTTGTAGAGATCGACCGATATGATTTTTTGTGGCCGATACCGATATATCGGCCATACATTTTTATTTTGAATATTTCACTATAAAACTTAGGAAATATGGACTGATTATGCCCATTTAGCAAAAATTGCTAAGAAATGTCATTGACACGATTTCTCAAGGTTTGTTTTGGAATACCTTTGAAGAACTTACAGGTCTTGAAAGTAGATCATAAAAACAGATCGATTTTTATTACAAGGGAGGAACCTTTGTATAATGTCCATGACAGTCATATGTTATTCGTCTCTCCTCTGTCACTCTCACTAGTACACAAAGGCGTACCCAGCGAGGGACAGGAAGGGACTGCTCCCCTCTAAACCCTAGAATTTTGTAATAAAGCATAAAAATCATACACCAAAAGCAGGAAAAATATAAACAAACAATAAACATAAGCCACTAATGTACTACAAATTTATAGAATGTTATTAATAACTAATAAAAAAAATATTAACTATCTCCTTTTATTGTTCTGTTCCCCCTCGTTCAGATCCCGGGTATGGCAGATCCCGGGTATGGCACATCATCAAAAAAGTAATTTTATGGAGAATTCAGTAATGTGACTGTTCATTGCTTTAATTTTCATTTTAACGCTCTTTAGCGGGATAAAAAACGTACGTATTGTAAAGTGTGACACTTCATTTGAAAGATAGTTGTATTAGTAATTTAATGCACCACATAACACTAACCTAAATATCTCTATATTGCAATTGCAAGAAAATAAAGTTAATAATAATGCAATCTTTTTTTTTATTTATAAGTTTATTTTTGATTTAGTTAACATAATATTATGTAGTGCATTGAATTACTAATAAAATTAGCTTATAAATAAATTGTCACACAATACGCAACAGTTTTTATCCCGCTAGAGAGCGTTAAAAAGAAAAGTAAAATTTTTCGGTGACGTATCATATTTGGTACTTTCCCTATTTAAATTGTATTGGTTAGATTGATGGAGGGGAGACGAGTGATATAAGACAGTTTTGAGGATACTATAGAAAAGTGTCCCCTTTGAAATAAAAATCGACCTGTTTTTGAGTTTCTTTCAAAAAAATTCTACTACAAGAAATTTTAAGATACAGCAGGTCGCTACCCTTAATCCCTGTATCTGAAAGGACAAGAAATTGTCACACCTCAAAAAGACCAGAAAGTTAAGTTTTGTTGCATTTTAACGTACCAAAACTTGTTTTAATATATTAAATAAAAGTAATTTTAAAAAACATACTTCAAAATCGTACAGATGCCCTTAAAATTTGAGATTTTTATTTTCTCAAGGACCATCAGATCCTGACCAATTGTATATGGCTCTATCTTTCTAACAAAAATAGAATCATAAAAATCGGCCATGGTAAATTATCGCTGAAAATACTTCAAAAATGAAGAGTTTGATGATTTTCTTATAGACCCTATTATTAGATCTTGGCCAAATTTATACGGGACCACGCCTGAAGTGCCCACTTTCTAACAAAAAAAAATATAGAACTTGGACAATAATAATCGGTGAACATATATAAAAAAAATATTCCGACGAATTGAGAACCTCCTCCTTTTTTGAAGTAGGTTAAAACAAATATGTTTTTTTAACTTAATCTTTACCTTTTAGATTTTAAATGTTTTTTCTTTGATAAATTCTATATTAAAATGTAATTTAAATAGTTTTTATTTAATACTTGTTTTATTTCTTTAAATAAAAAATTCTTAGCAATTGAAATATTTAATTGATATTTTGAATAGGCCGATACCGATATAGGCCGATATCGCCCTCTCCATATGGGCCGATATCGCACTCCCCATATCGGCCGATACCGATATAGGCCGATATCGCCCTCTCCATATCGGCCGATACCGATATAGGCCGATATCGCACTCTTCATATCGGCCGATACCAATATCGGTCTCGGTCGATCCCTGATTGTTTAGTTTTGAAGAAATTATTTATTCTGGAAGGAGCAAAATTTAGTATTTGTCCAATAATAAAATAACTGTTTTAAGTCCATGATTTGGCGATCTTTGTAGAGCAGATCAAACGGAAAATATTTTATGGCGTATCTTGAAAAATATGGTTTTGTGTTAAATTAGTATATGACAACCTTAAACAATAAATATATTATTATTTATTATCAAAAAGAAATTAGCACTGTTGCAAATGTTACTAATTACTACATACCTTTTTAAAAAATGTTTTTAATTGTTCATCCTCAGTATTTATATCAAATCCAGATGTTGAATTCCAACCCACATGGGAAATATGTTTAAAATCCCTAGGAATTCCAATATCTTTTTTTGTAATCAGTCCCTTTTTTCTTTTCGTTTGTTTCGCAAATGGATCTAAAGTCTTTTTGAAATTTGAAAAATCTAAATGTGTCGTGGGAGATGGCAGCGTTTGACTTTGGCTGATTTGTCGACATCGTTTCTCCTCTCTTCGTTTTCTGGCGTGGATTTTTTGATGTACAACTATCCTAAGGTCGCGAGCCTCCTCGACGTTCGCGAAATTAAAGGCCACCAGACAATTTTCTCCTTCGAACATGTGGAAGAACGGCGTTCCTTCGATGTACTCCATGCCGTTGTACATCTCTTGTTCCCACACTTTCATGTTTCGTTGCGTGCAGAACAACCGAAAGAAAAAGTTCTTTTTGATGTTGTCTTTTACAAAACATAGTACTCCTGGAATAAATATGTAGGTCGAAATTACATGTAAATAGTTTTAGTTTTAGATAATTAAAAAAAAATGCATACATTTAAAAAAAATAAAAATAATAAGGTTTACACTTAGTGATGTAAAGGAGGGAACATTCCCTTCGTGTTGTGAGGGAATAAATCCGCACAAACGATCGATCATGCACGAAAGTTCCCCAGAGAGCACATTCAGCACAAACGAGAATTTTGTGATTCTCATTAGCTCTTTCAATTTTATTTGGTTTGTTTTCAATTGTTCAAGATTTCATATTTCTAAAATTGCATTTGAGTTTTTAAATCTCAACCTATTTTCTCACTTCGCTTTTCTTTGTAATTTTACTTATGTTACTTAAATTTTTGCAATTTTTTTAATTAATAAAGATTTTTTAAATGTTAGAAGTTATTACTGTATTATTGGCAACACAAATTATTAATACAGTGTCTTATGAAGCGTTAGGAGAATATTACGGCCAAGTTCAATGACAAGTGACGGCGACTTTTTTATCACAAGAAATACAGCTCTGAACGATAATATTTTCAAAAACTGTTTTCATAAATGGGTTCAAAAAACTGTAAAGAATGATGGAAAGTCCATGGTTTGTTTTACTTTTAATGCATAATATTTTAATAAGTGATATTTAACAAATATTTAAAAGTTATGGACTTTCCATCATTTTTTATAGTATTTAAAAGTTAAAACGCAAAATACATTCTTTTATTTTTGCCTAATTATTTCAGGATTCTTGTGATAAGATTTAAAAATGTAGGGCCCATAAGATGCTGCCATCTGAACAGACGGAATAGACACTAAATTTGAAAAATTGCAACATCGCTCCCTATGCAGAAGAATGTAAAATGGCTTAGCCCAATTTGACCATGTTTCTGGGTGAGGGGTGAGGTGGTGTGCGGGGAAAGGTTGCAAGTAAATAAATTATTCTATAAATGCTATTTTCTGTTTGGAATACAACACAAGCATGTTTGTTTTGAAAGTTTGACGTTTATGGTTTGACGTGTCATTTCAATTTAATGGACTTTAATAATTTAAAAGATGCAATGTACTTATATTTTTTATATATTATATTATTGTAGATCCAGGTATGTTTTCGGTTTTTATTTTATTTTTATTTTATTTATTTGGCTAGTTTGCTAATATCACAATATTCAAATTTAGTAAAAAATAATGTAATAATATAACAATTATTTTAATAACATTCTAAATAGGAAATGTAATTTAACTGCAATTGTTTTGATAACAGTATTTGCATATGGTCTGTGAATTTCATCTGTTTCTGAATAATTACCCTTAAATATTTGAATTTTTTTACTAACTGTATAGATTTTCTTTCAATTTCCTATATTGTTTGTCCACAAACTGCATATAGTTATTACTTATCAGCTTATATTTTGTTTTAGGTATTTGTGTTGATTTTTAACAAATGATTTCAACATCATTTATAAACATTTTGCAGAGTTTCATTGACAATTAACTCTTACTAAGTTATCTGAATCCTTACAACTTACAAGAAACATAGATAAGGACATCATAGGCTAACAGGTAAATGTCATATTGATTATTGTGACATCAACAATCATTAATATAAATTAAAAATAACAGGGGACCTAATTTTCTTCCTTTGATGTGGTTAATTTCTTCTGATAAGGACAGCGATTCTTTTGTGCGAACTCGACACATTACATACATAATAGAGAGAGACATTACATTAAAATCGCTGTCTGTCGAACAAAGATAGGAGTCTCGATAGAAGACGTACTGAAAAATGAGAATCACACTACATGTTATTTAATTTTAATCTCTCTGATCTGATACTTAGATAATCTACATGCTACCCCAATGCATGCTTTATAGCATAGATATAAAAACCACCTTTATACAAATACTTTTTAATTTTTTTATCGAATGGTTTTGATCAACAGAATCAAGTGCATTTTAAAGAAATACAATTAATTTTTAATTGTACATATGGCGGGTTGTACAATAGGCAGTTCAAATGTAGACTTAGTTTAAACTGTGAACCTTGTTGTATACTCATCGGTTATTGTTAAACATAGTTTTAAAAATGACATTTGTTTTTGAATATAACTAGTTAAAAATAAAACTCTTGTTAGTTAAAATATGCTTAGAATATTTTTTGTACAACCTGCCCATAATGTATTTTGTAATAATTAAAAATCATAATATTCTTGTAAGGAAGTTGGAAAGCTTAGGCTTTGATCAGTCGCTGTTGAGATTATTTTCATCTTACCTAAATCATCGTTTTAATTATGTCTTTTACAATGGATTTTCATCTTCACCCCTCACAGCAACATCTGGAGTTCCACAGAGCTCCAATCTGGGGCCACTATTATTTGGTATATTTATAAATGACTTGGCAATAAATTTAACCTGCTGTTCGCTGCTGACTTAAAAATATTTACCTCAATCTCATCAATTCAAGACTGTTACTTTTTACAGACCCAACTTGGGAATCGTTGAAAATTGGTGTAATGAAAACAAGCTGTTTATGAATGTGTCTAAATGTAAAGTATGTTCCTATACTAGAAGTAATAACAAGGTGGAGTTTGATTATTTATTTAACAGCCTACCTTTATCAGACTTGTGCACAAATTGAAGATTAAGGTATATTATTCAACCAAAAAGTTACTTTTTCGGATTATATTGAAAATACCGTTGCTTCTGGGTTGAAAAGCTTAGGGTTCTTAATTCGTAATACTCGTTCTTTTACAAACTCTTAAAGCTTGGTGATCCTTACTTTTCTTTAGTTCGTTCCAGGCCAGAATATGCATCTCTTGTCTGGAACCTTATTTACAATATTTATAAAACATCATTGGAAAATGTTCAGCGGCGATCTCTCAAGTACCTTTCTTTTAAGTGAAGGTTGGTGACTATCGACACAAGACATGATATGTAAAGCGGCAAATTTAAATTATACAATAAAAACCATTTAATAAATTAGCAGAAATGCCAACCTGTCTAAGAATAAATAAAAAATATTAGACTAGGTAGCTAGCAGTTAAATTTGTGATGATAAACAGTTCCATCCTTATTCCATCAGTAACAGGGACTTTGACTGCCAGCTACAATACTGGCCCTAAATCCCATCTTTACTAATTGCAAAGACATTTGTCAAGATAGCGCCACCATCCCCTTTCACTTGAGTGATCATAATATGATGCCTCATTGCACACTAAATATCACTGTTAATAAATAGAGACAGAAATTTAAGAACCAAAATAATGAAAAATTTAAAAGTGATTTAAAAGCTATTTAAGTACTGGGATGGTATATTCTTTATTGATAATATTAATGACAAGGTCAACTACTTAACTATGCTTTTCAATGACCATGCACCTTTGGTAAATAACAGAGTCAGTAAACCACCAACTCTCTTCCTTATTGATAATTTAAAAATAATTCTTAAGGAAGGGGATAAGGCATTATCTAAATTTAAATGTAACACCTGAAAACAGGAGGCATTATAAGAAATATAGAAATTAGGCTCTGTCCTCAATTAGGAAGGAAAAAGCAGTATTTTAATCCAGTTTTCAGAATGACAAAAATGATAAATTTTTGTGGAGGGGCCTATGCAATATGAATGATCAGACAAATCTTTGTGAACATTTAGTTTTATCAACATTAAGTTATTGCAATATTCTTTATATATATTGTTGTCTGGACAAAGTGTCACAGAGCCAATTACAAAATGCTTGCTGCAGATGCATTTTTGGTTTCAGGAAATATGGGCATATCTCAATTTATTTTGCCCAGTTGAAAAGGCTCAAAGTTGTCAATCTATATCAACTAAATGTTTGTTTTGTATAGACTACTAAAGACAAAGAACACTGCCTATTTGTTTGAGAAATTTAATTTTAGAACATCAGTTTATGTTAATACTAGACAAAATATACTTACAGTGTCTCATCATTCTACCATAACGTTTGAAAGAGGTTTCACTTATTCGCTCCGTGCGAAGTCATGGAAAGGGAAGCAAAAGCGATACTAGCGCTAGCTGCGGATAATTTGTGCATTTTAGGGGGATATTTTGTAATTTTGGCATATCAAATACACGTATACATTTTACTTTTTTTCAAAAAAAGTAGGTAAAAACAATACAATAAGCAACCGGAGTTACTGTGTTGAAAATTGTACAAATACTAGCAATAAAAACAGTGAAACTTATATAAAAAATTTCAGTAGCAAAGTGGAAATTAAATTAAAGAAATGAATGGATAGATATAAAATAAGAAGGAAAATTACCTTTATTTTTGTAATAATAACCGTAATGCTGCAAATAGTAGACATCAGAAACTTGAAAGGTTTTAAATCAACAATAGATTATCATTTTACCATGTTCTTTAATATCCCTTATTCTTAAATGTTCATTCAGCAAGGACTAGATTTCAAGATTTCTGCCTTTGATTATTATGTGTGGTTGGAACGCAATTTTGTAAATTACTGATAGGAAATCAGTTTTAATCATTCATTCTATGTTTTCTTTCGAACAAAAATGAATATATAAGTAATGATCCTTTTTTATACATTTTAACTTCACGCTATTATTAAATGGTATTTTTGTATTTTGACAGAATAGACTAATTCTTCAATGACAACTTATTAGACTTAGGCAACTTCTCATACATTTTCCTGTAAATACTGTTGCCTGCCTATATTTTATTATGGATTTTTATCAATTATACATAATTTTCTTTAATTTAAGCGATAAAAATATATAATAATAATAAATTAATGTTTTACTTGTTTCACAAATCCATATACTTTTATTAAAACTAACATGTATACTTTTTAATTACGAATTCTATTAAAAGTTGCATTTGTCAGTATACGCCGAAATCCTCCATTAGTATCAAAACGAATTGGCGCTGCTGTCGCGCACGGAGCGAATAGGTAATGTGTTTAAGTATACCTATTATCAGTTTTATTTTCTAAATTGGAATGCATTATTGCATATTTATAGACATGTGATTAAAAAGTATTTTTTTGGCTATGCAATAACCTGCTTTTATTTGGATTTCTCATTATAATTCAATTCTTGTTCTTTGTAATTATTTACTTATATACCTATAGGTAAGTATAGACTATTATGTAAATAGAATGCTACTATGTCAACTAGGAAAGTTGAGGATTAAGAGTAGCTGTATAAATAACCTCCACCTCCCTAGTGCAAATGTATGTATACATTTGTTTTTGAGGAAGGCAAATTATTTTTATTATTATATAGGTAATAATTGTTTTGCAATGTATGTACACATTTGTTTTTAATAAAGGCAAATTATTTTTATTATTATATGGGTAATTTTTTTCTTTTCTTAAAGAGTTGATTAAAGTTAATGACATCATAAGACATTTTGTTTAACAGTCACTGGAAAGTCTATTTTACTAACAAACTTTTACTACAGACCTCAATATGTAAAATCCCAAAATGTGATATTTCCAACTACATAACCATATCTTTTAAAATGTACCTATGCATTAAATAAACCATTAACTTGGTACATAATAAATAAATTGGATAATATATTGTGTACTATGTATTTTATATCAAATATAGTAGTAGTCCTAGTAATGTGATGGTTGAATGTGCCAACAAATAACTTGCACATTACATATTATAAATATATCTAATAGTAACAATATTTAAAAAATTAGGATAGTTAATTGACTTACCTGAGTTCTTTTTGAACCATTGCGAATGATCTGGAGGTTTTGTTAAATATAACTGAACCACTGTGGTGCATAGGGATTGGCAACGGTTTCCCAACAATTTGACGATTTGTAAATTTTCTTCGCTGCTTAAAAGACCACAATAGGTATTCTCCAGAACGGGTGCCATTTCCCTATTCATTATAAATAGTGAACATTGCGAAAATGTGTAAAATATTTAAAATAAATAGAAAATTGTTGAACGACTTGTCATTATCTCCAAAAATGTAGAGAAGATAACCTAGAATTAGTCATAAACGTCCACTTTGCATATGTGTGGTACGACTGAGATAGTAGACATATCAGTAGCGAGATAATAAGAGATAAACTGTTGTTTACAAAATGATTGGGTTCGACAGCTGATTGATATGATAACTGTCACATACGAATAGTTTGGAATACGTTCAGAAAGTTGGTACATTTCAAAGTACGTTCAGAATTGCCAATTTTTTTACAGATATTTCTTATTACAAACTAGTTTCTTTAAGATTTGCTGCAAACCGTTTTTAAGATCCAATAGTATAACTGGCTAAATGCAAAATTATTCGGTGCGTACACGTACCGAATAATTTTCAATATATTTTTAAAAAACCATAATTAATCTTACGATTTAAATATGTCCCCCAAATTAATCCTGTGTGCCATAACATGGTAGAAACAGAAACTTGTTATACTCTTCACACAATAGTCTGTAAAGAGTATTATAGGTTTACTTTCAAGAAATAAAATTTTTAATATTCATCCAAATTTAAAAATTATTTTACCAAAATCCTTCTCATCAAATTTTACACAACTTTTAATAATGTCCGTCAGATGTCACGTTCTTTGTTTGCACGATAAGTCGAAAACCTAAAATTTTCAGGAAAAATCAATCTCTATAAGGGTACGAAGCCTATTGATTTTGAAAAAAAAACTGATTAAAAGTGGAAGGGTTAAGGGGGAATTGAAATTTTAAAAAAATCGTAAAACAAAAACGAAAAGCAATATCAACATGAGCTTTTTATTAAAGGGGATAAAGCTTATTTATTTTGAAAAATATTATTTAAAATGGGGAGTTTAGGGGGGGGGGGTGGTTGATACTTAAAAAAATATCATGAAACAAAAAAAATATCAACTTGAAATTTTCAGGAAAAATCAAGCTCTACAATAGGACGAACCTTATATAAAAAATTAAAATATAAAGGAGATTCGCTTCAGGGTAGCAGAATTTGTAAAGAGTGTTGCCTAAATCTATGGGGCTTTGATAAATACAAAGGGGATTAGAAAAATGCTTAATTTGAATTCAATATGATTCAGAATTTTCTATAAGGAAACTATTCTGACTACCTATACGTAATAGAAATACGATAAAAGCTTGATCTTTTGAGCTAACTATTGTTAAATTACATACCTATACAGGAGGAGGGTCGCTTCATGGATGTTATCTTGAAGTTTACCAGAAAAAAACCTATACACTAAAACAATATCCCTAAGAGGCCACATCCTTAACTGAGCAATTCAATGTGGTGCATGTTTTGAACGAAAACTATTTCGTACATCATCTATAGATAAAAGTATACGAATTCCATATGCATAATTCATTTAAATTCATCAACAACGTTCCATACGATACACGATTTTTCGACAACAGGAATTCGATAGCTGATGTAGTTTTTATTTAAATTTTTAATAGTAGGTATCTGCCTATTGTTATTTTTTTCTTTATCGGTATGTTCGCATCAAAACAATCAGAATTTAAAATCGTTAATTTGGATGTTTAAAATATTAATAATGTAATGACAATGAGACTAAGAATACGTTAATATCTCTTTGGATAAAATTTGTACCAAACCTTCTAGACATGCTTTCGAATTGGCACTTACCCAGACAGCACAAATATGTTCATTGGACGTCCATTCGATATACAATTTTGGATGCCTGGACGTCCAAAAATGAGTTTTTCTGGACTTCCGACATCCAATGAACGTCCAGTGAAGTATACAAATGGTACACTTTTGACCATTCAGAGGACGCCAATTTTGGATTATATTTGGACGTTGAATACTATATATTTAAAAATATTCCATTGAGATCACATCCCCACTTTTTTTACACAACCGCAACTCATCACCACATACTATATTTTATATTATTAATAATTTATTTAATATTTTCTCAACCCGCTATACACCATTTCTTTTTTTTAATAAAAATCGCTTGACATGAGCAGGGATCGAACTCACGACACGTCCATTATCATTCTACGCTTTCAACCACACTAGACGTACTCGACCAAGGAGCCACCTGAAAACTTTTTACTAGATATGGTTATATGTCAATGGTCTCATTTTCTTGTTTGCACCCCCTGCAGAGTGCAGATTCTGACAAGTGGTTGTTATTCTCGGGTAATATATTCAAAGGTCTTTAGAAAATAAATCACAATGCGTTACTATATTCACTGATTTTTTAAAAGTATTTGACTGTATAAGTCACAAATTGTTGATCAATGAACCAGATAAATATGGCAGAGGAGTTGCAAATAGGATTCTTATTATTATTTACAAAACAGACAACAAAGTGTATATTATAGAAATAAACTAAGTAAACCATAAATTATGAAAAAATATATACTTTTAACAAAAGTTGGAAAGGCTTTTGGTAGGTAGACAGTATGAACACTAGAGATAAGAAGGCGAATTAGCGTACTCGAAATACGGTCCCAAAAAACAAAAAACGAACGCTAATTGTGCTTTTACAATTCACCGCAAGGGCGCTGATGTTGCTAGCGCCGTTAAAAATGGAAATTTGGAAAATGGAAAAATGGAAATTTTACAAAATTTTATGAAAATAAACTTGTTGTATTTATTTATAAATAAGTAGGTAGGTTATTCTGTGAAGAGGTGCTAAATGTCAAACATCGTCGCGGTAATGTTTGCTCGCCATAGTCGTCTCATAGAATGAAAATAAAACCAAACATTTTAAATTATTACCTGCGGAATCGGGCCAACGTATCTATTTATGGGCTCCAAATAATTATTTATACAAGTAATAATATCCCAAATCAAAATTCTACAAAATTTCAACAGCTATTCACAATATATTAAATTATTTATGTCAAATTTTTATAAGTATCTATAAAATAATTTTCTACGCTGTTTCACATTTACTTCGGTCAGAGATATCTTCATTGCCGCGTTTGAATATCCACATCGGATGCATCTGAGATGTTTTGAATTTTTTATCACGTGATAGAGAATTTTAGATCTGAACGTAATAAAATGTTAATGACAAGTTAGAAGTTTATACTTTTTAAATTTGGCTTTTGAGACTGTAAATCAACTTAAATTTGAAATCTAACCAAAAATTAAACAAACTAATCACTTCTCAGAACACTTACTTTCTGGCATGGAACGAACATCTCATTCACATCTCATTTCAAATCGAGATTTGATATTTGATAGTTGTATTTTAGGTTTTAGATCATGCTCGAATTATTATTATATAGGTCTTTTCCTTTGCATCGAAAGTGTAGCACTGAGCTACGTCACTTCTGAAAATATTGTTCCATCCATACAATTTGTATATATGGAACGATATTTTCAGAATTGGTGTATCCCAGTGCTACACTTTCGGTGCAAAGGAAAAGACCTATTAAGAACAACTTTTTTTCCTAAAATTAGTAATAAAAAAGCTTTCCTATGCCAACCTAGACCAACTGTCTAGGTAAATTGGCGACATATGAAAATCTTTTTTATTACTAATTTTAGGAAAAAAAGTTATTCTTTATAAAAAGTCGAGCATGGTCTAAAACCTAAAATACAACCATCAAATATCAAATTTTATCATTCGTATAAAGAATAAAGGTACTTTACTCTTGAGTAAAACTCATATTTTTTGACAAACCTCGTATACCACTAAAAAAATTTGATATTTGATGACTATTCTAGGTTTTAGATAATGCAGAACTTTTTATGCAGAATAACTTTTTTTTCCTAAAATTAATAAAAAGTTTTCCATATGATTCCAACTTAGGGGGACATATACTGTATACACAGATCCAGCCCTTTTAAATTATATATTGTATAAGTGACACTCTATACAAAAGGTTTTTTCAGACTTCATTTTCGTTTTGATTTAAAATATAGTTTCACTTTTTGAGGAATTCTACAACAGAGCGTCTTTCATCTTCAAAAAGAAAATTCCAGTTGAAATTGCGGCGCTAATATAATGTGTCATTAGGTTTACGTTTTCCTTGGCTGCGGGTACTATGTTAATTCGTTAGCTTAAATGTAATATGTTATTTAATATAATAAATAGTATGTTTACACTATAGTTTACTTTTTTTAAATAAACTCCTGGACAAAATTAACGCACCACTTTAATTAATCTAAATATGTACAATATAAACACAACATAAAACTAAGTTACATTAAAATAATGAACACCTAAAAATAAGTCAAATATGACCTTTACATGACCTTAATTTGCCTTATTTTTTCCATAAAAATTTGTTTTTGCTGGAAATGCATAAATAAGCTAGCATAACTCCAAATTGAAAAAAGAAAAAACAATCAGTAAAAGAGAATAAATGCATCTGGGTCAACCCTAATACCCTTAGGCCCTCCTTTACTTCTTATCACCGCATTCATGCGTCGTGGCATGCTTGATATCAAATGTTCAACAAAAGCTTGCGGTATATTCTCCCATTCTTAGTAGCGACCTCTATGAGTTGGTTGTGATTAAAAACAGGGGATCTATGACTTCGAATCTTCTTTCTGAGTCTTTTAAGTTTTTGTTTAAGAACTTTGATTTGTCTTGTTTTTTCTTTATTCATTTCTACCTGTTGTAAGAGTTGCCTTCCAAGCCGTTTTATGCTAGGGCTTTCTAGGATAGATTCCTTATTTGAAGTTCTATTTGAAGGGCCTGGCTCAGCTTCCAAATGCAATGTTCTTCTTTTTAAGTACTACAAACAATCAATTATTACGGTAATGTTTTGAATTATACACAAAAGGGTTGCTAAATTCTTAAAAGTTCATAACATATAATAATGAAATGTAATTAAAAAAATATATATGTTTAATTATGTTTATTAGTATACGCACCTTCTTCGGCTACACGTATTTAGAGAATTCAGGAAATATAGTGGGAACTGCTCCATTTAGTAAACGTCTTTTACAAACGCACCTATTAAAAATATTGCGCCAAGATGTAGGCAACACGTAATAAGGGTTCAAAATGGCGGAGTTTTCTATCTCCTTTTAAAAGGCACTCAGAAAGCTGCGCAG